AGGTGAGCTAAAAATGATTTGTCCATTTAAATGCATGAAAGGTGCTGCTCGTTTTCCTTACCCTTGAAGCGCTTATGCTCTGAGCCTGACACAAACTACATTTTATTAATCATATTTTTTTCTAGTTAACATCAAATTAAAAACGCCCGTGACATCTTTCAAAGTTTCTAATGTTTGTATTTTTTCATAAAGAACATTTTTTTATCCTGCACTCCATTGACATGATCATAAATTGACCTGAACCACGTGTTCGAAGTAAAATGTAAATATGTATTTGGCGTAAACGTTGCAAGCCATTCAACAATTGGTCAGTTGCACGTGGAAAGATATCTTACATGTAGAAATGCAAGTTGAATACTTTTAAAAATGATCCACTGGCAAACTTCAGGCTATTCTACATGACATTGACATGTATGTCCAACAATTCATTATAAAAGATTGAATAGCTATCTAATTTATGAAAAAAAACGCACTCTTGTAACATTATTCAAATGTAAGAAAGACGAATTTGAATTTACTAGTATTATGGTCTTCATCAATCTAACACCAAAGAAAATACTTTAATTCTTTGAAAATCTTTTCTACTCTTGGGTATTAAATACACGCACTTGGTATATAGTTATAATGAGCAAGAGTGACTCAACTAAATTTGTGATTTTCATGGCTCCTGGGTTATGGTGTAAGGGGGAGGCTCATTTGATGTGAAAATACATTAATTCTTTAAAATCCTCTTCTTTGCTCCTGGGTATTAAACAAACTAAGTAGGTATATAGTTATGATGAGCAAGAGTGCTTCTTCCAAAAGTGTGAATTTTATGGCCCCTCGGGTGGGGGTTGTGGTGTAAAGGGCGGGGCTCTATTGGTTATATAGTGAGAATAAATTGATTTAAAAAATCTCTCCCCTGGTTATCAAATTAATAAACTATGTACATAATTATAATGAAGAATGATGCCTATTCCAAAATTATCAATGCCATGGCCCCTGGGTTAGGGGCTGTGGTGTTAGGGTGGGGCTCTAATGATGGTGAAAATGCAAGAATTCTTTGAAAATATTTTCCTTTGCTCCTGGGTATTATGCCAATGATATATATTTTTGATGAAGAAAGGTGCATCTAGCAAAATGATTATTTTTTATGCCCCCCCCCCCTGGTTGGGGGGGGGGGGGGGGGGGGGTTAATAGTATGAAAATAAATTAATGATTTGAAATCTGCTCTTTGGTATTAATCAACAACTTATGATGAAATATGTGGTTCCTGTGGGGTGGGGTGCACAACTGGTTATAAAGTGGAAATGGATTTTCTCTTTGTAACTCTGATCTACCTCTGGGTATTAAGTGACTAGAGTAAGCATGCTGAGTGTATAATTATGATAAGCAATGCTGCCTCTTTCAAAACTGAAAATTTCATGGCCTCTGGTTTAAAACACGAACCAAATTCAATTGTTGGAAAGTTGTTACATGATACTCAGGTGACCTATAAGGCCCATGGGCCTCTTGTTTAAAAAATTTGTGACATTTAATAGTTTGTTTGAAATTTTAAAAAATATTATTAACTATGCCATATAATTTTTAGCAGACACAAAATATAAAGATGAGAAATAAAAACAATTTTGTAAAGAGAGATAATCCAATTAAATGTGTAATTTCAACTTAGAGTTAACAGAAAAATCATGAAAATGGGTCTATTTTTTTTTCTCAAAAAATTTTTTTTAACGTTTGTTTTCAAATGATACTTTTTATCTGTTAATCAATGATATATTTATTTATAAATTGTATAAGTTTTAACTTTATACCTCAGATAGTTTTGGAACTTTTGTAACACTTAAGTTTTGGACAACTTGACCTTTGGCAAAACCTTGAACAAAAAAAAAATGCTGACACTGTGACTTCTACAAAACTATTTCATCGTTAATGTTTGATTAGCATTATAAATGTATTTTTTAAATAATCATATCCATGGTATAGAACAAAACAGTTTTAATTAAAAAATAAATTTTACCATGACATGCACCAGGCCCTGGGATCATGAAACATCTTAAACGTAAGTCAAAATATTTATATGTTTTACTAAAATGTTGTAAAACGCAGACAGGCCAAAACTATAAGATATTTGAAAGTTTCTTTTCAAAAGAGCTGCTATCTGAAAATCAATAAATATTTTAAAAACAATTGAAAGTTTGAATTAACTCTTAGTCTGTATCATAATCCTGGGGCCAGGGGAAATTTGATATGAGATTACAGTTTTTTTTTATATGAAGGATATGGAGATATATATAATATTAATTTAATGAAGTTTAATAAATCGATAGTTTGAGTTTTCAGCTGTCCTACGACAAGAGAGCGTTCTACAACCAAAATATTTCAAGGTAATATATCCTTTAAAAGCCGTCAATGTGCATTTCAAATTACAGAGAATAAATTGAATTTCATGTGTTATGTTGCTCCTGTCGTTTTTATTAATCGGTGCATGCATTTAATGTAAGGGGGCTGCTTTTTATTCAGGTAAGAGGAATGCTTAAAGTTAGAGTTGACGATGTGTTATTTGTTAAAAACTGGTATTTTAAATGCAATGTGAATACACAAAACTTCCCAAAGATTTGCTTTCACAATTTACAGGAAACTGTCCATGCTCGTATAAATGTACAAGCAGGCATGTAATTATCTCAGTCTGATAACTAACCAAAAGTTAGCAATAGATTGCATTATCATTATACCACTTAGCAAACAGCTATAGTTAGTGGACATAAAAAGTAACAATTAATAGCTTTTTTCCGCTTGTATTTCTTTTTTAGCTCTAATGGTCAGAGAGCAGAAGAGCTATAGTAATGCGTCCGGCATCCGTCCGTCTGTCTGGAAACAATTTTTCAAAATGCTACTCCTCCTAGTTTTGGTCTGATTTAAATATAACTTGGCACACAAGTAGACTACACAAAGATACATAATTCTGCGGTTCGTTTTTTGATTTAGATGAACGGTGTTGCCGTGGTTACTAAAAATAGAAATTTCTGTGAATTTTTTGCAAAATGCTACTCCTCCTAGTTTTGGTCTGATTACAATATAACTTGGCACACAAGTAGACTACACTAAGATACATAGAATAGAGCATCGGTTTTTGATTTCGATGAACAGTGTTACCGTTGTAAATAAAATAGAAATTTCTGTAAAATTCTTTCAGAATGCTACGTATCCTACAATTTTGGTCTGATTTCAATATAACTTGGCACACAAGTAGACTAAACTAAGATACACAATTCTGCATATCAGTTTTTGACTTCAATAAACATAATTGCCTTGGTTACAATATAGAAATTTCTGTTAAATACCCTCAAAATGCTACTCCAAATACAGTTTTAGTCTGATTATAATATAATGTGGCATGAGACTACTCTAAGAACACAAAGATACTTAATCAAGGATCATTTTTCTATTTATTGCTATTGTTTAATTCCCAAGTGCTTAAGTACTTTTCTCTTCCTTTGCTATAAGTACAAACCAGTAGAGCTTCAGTCTCGACAGAGACTTCTGGTTTGGATTTCTTGCTTGATTCTAAAGAAGAAATAAATTCATATATTTTTCTTGCAACAGTACGCAATAACTAAAGCAAAATAGCGATAAATCTGAGTTGGTCTAGTGTTACCATTTCATCACGAATCCTCTGTCCTTGAAAATATCAATAGTTTTAAAGTGCATTTCCCCGTTTCTATTGATCATGCACTGTGTTGTTATTTAGAATACGAGTCAAATGGATTGCATTGCTTCGTGGTTAAGTTCTTTCGGGTTTATATTGACAAGGATATGACAAATCATGTTGTTTATGAAAAAAATAATTGCATTTAATTTTTATAACTCGTGCGCGTGGCCTAACGAGGTACCAGTTTTCTTTTTTAAAAGTTCATAAAAAAGATGGACAAGTCAACATTCCGAAATCTGCTTTATAAATGCAAAATCTAGCACTTTCTCGGGATATGTAATCTAGCATTTAATGCATCTGCTTTTGAGTTTGTCCTTAAAAATACCCAGACGAAAAAATTCTTGCTAAAGGACATATGCAACATACCTTAACTGCTAATAATTTTTAACAATATTCTTAATTCAAGTTATTCTTAATTTATACCAAAAAAAAAAATCAGTATGCCTCACCGGGTATTTTGAAAATATATCATTTCATGAAATTCTTGTGTAATTCAAAGAAAAATAAACAAAACAAAAAATCTCAGCATATACTTTCGGCGTTTCGTTTATCCAAACTTGTTTCAGAAAAAGTATGCAAAAGCACATGTACACAGTACAATTAGAACACAGTTCCTTCAAGTATTTGAACTCTTAAACAGGAAAATACACAATAAAAGTCAAACTATGTTACCTATGTCCTTTACTTGACACGTTCATAGAAGCCAATGTTATTTACATGTGTTACTAATCAAAAGAATTTTCATTGAAGTTTTCACCAAAAAAAAAACAGCCATTAATGCCTTTGAGTGAAGGACGAAATGTGAAGATATCGAAAAATAATTGTGTTCAAAGCCTTTTCAAACATATTATATTAATACTTTAGGTTATATTCGACTTAACAGGTTGTAGACGCAAACAAGGTCACTGCATTGGCCGTAACAATTTTTGAAATTTTGAATTTAAATGAGATATTTTGGTATCGTCAACTTATTTGTCAATACCATTATTTTAGGAATTGATCATAAACACGTTCTTGCAAATCGAATGAACCTCTCGAAGATTCAAACCCCATTTGGTCGCATTCATGGCAAGAGGATCGTTCCCTTTGAAGTCGAGAAATAAGAATTTAATAGCCCCATATATCTTTCCAAAAAGTGGTCATATAACTAAATTTCCCGTTAAATCAAACAGAATTGTGACCTCTGCGTTACGCAATATTCTATCAATTATACACAGTACACTAGTGGTTTTATTTTACTGCTTGTTATTTTTACCTTTTAACATGTTTACACTTTCATTTTTATTTCTTGGCAGAATGACAACTTCTAGCTCCGTGAATTTTTCAAGTCCAGCGAAAAAAGTATGAACATCTTGCAGTACATATATATATATTGAATTACAGCTACCTTCTTTAAATTTCTTTATGATTATAAATTTTATATTGTATTAATTTTATTTTTTTTTTTCAGATAGAGTTCACTTCAATATTCTGTCGTAAAAGTAAGTATCTGCACAAAATAATATCAATCCTGTCACTTTTTTTAGACTTGAAAAGTTCTTTAGACAAGTTTCGAAAGTTCTTTCATTATTCATATAACAAGTACGTTAAAAAAGATAGTAAAATCGATCATTTTGAACAGATATTAACTCTAGTAGACTTTTGCCAACATTTTATTAGCATACGAATATGATTCTTTATGGAAAGAAAAACCTGCTGAAAATAAGAATAAAACAGACTTTTAATAATGATGAAATATCGTGAGAGAAAAAATCCAATTTGTAGGGTATTAAGGCATCATGTGCATACTAGTCATGTGCCCGCTTTCAAAATAAAGTGTGATATAATAATTTCGCCCTTTCTGTCTGTCTGTTATTTTAACACTCGTTTCCACATGATATCCCTTAGTCCATTAAAGCCTTTTATTGATTTCGAAAAGCCTTTGAACTTTTACAATGAAATTTTAAACCACAACTCCCCATGGCCTGAAAAAGACCTCTATATATCCGAGATCTAAAGGTCTAGGTCTTACATGTAAATGCATCTACGAGTATTCGCCCTACCTCCTCAAGATTTACGCAAGCTCGAGAAAACAGATTCTCTAAATTAGCTTTTTCTTAAAAGATTAAATTAAAAAGACACCGCGCCATGAATGAGAGAAAAGTTATTTTTTAACAAAATATCAAATTTATTAAGTCATTCATATATTTGTCTCTGCAGAAGAATAAAAATTAAAAAATTCATTTGAGTTATCAAACGTTATACATGTAACCATGTTTCTTGCATGTACAGCTCTTTGATGAATCTGCAGTTCTTCTTAAGTCACAAACTTGTACATCAATGAATTTAGGAATTTAGGTAAAGAGGCAGCGTTAGTTCTGTACTTATTACTAATGTGTGATACAATATCCACTATCGCTATTATTTTGCTAAGGGAAAGTGTTTTTTTGTACATGTAAGTAGTGAATTGTACGCAAGAAATTAAACCCCGACAAGATCATTTCATTACAGAAAGAAGGATATGGAGATAACGAACAGTATTCAATCTCGAAGTCCATAAAATAATTCAAAATAAGAGCAGAGCAAACACGGACATCCGAAATATCAGAGGTGGGATAAGGTGCCGTGGAGGAGTGAGCATCCCCTGCTGACCGGCCACACCCGCCGTGTGCTCCTTGTCATGATCAGGAAATAACGGAAAAAAGATTCAACTCTAAGCAATATTTCAATAGCATATTCATCTAAACTTAACTCATTCAATTGCTTATGCTTTGATGCATAGTTACATGAATTGTATTACGTGTACATCTACTGAGTATTTAATGATTTTTTTTTTCAGAGGAGGAGTGCACTTCGATCGAAATAATCGTTTATCTGGCCATAACTGCTGTTTGTGAGATCCTTATACTATGTGTTCTGGGGTGCTTTATGGACTCAGTTGAGCCGTATCTGGAAATTGACATAGAGGAAAAACATGGAACTGGAATTGATGGATTTGGAACCATTTCTGAAGATATTGTGAGAAGAAATAATGATTGTAGCCTACAGGAAAGGAATTTAAAAGAAATATATAGACGTAACAAAAAATCTAAAAAATGCAAATGTCGCAAATGCGGACTTCGATGTTGCGCTTCTGTATGCTTCAGATTACTTACAATGCTAATATATATATTTGACTTCTGTTCTGATTTTCATTTAGCATTTACTTTTTTGGTAAATGGAGAAGTCAAGCTTTGCTTTATAAATGCAGCCCCAGGAATAATATCATCTGTATTGACTGGAATTCTTCTAACATGGATGTTCCTAAAAGAAAAAGATCGACCGAGTCTGTCTTGGGCATCAATTATAGCAATGATGTTCGTGACAATTATACCAAAGGCGTACATGTAAGAAAACAAATCATGTAATTAAAAATATTTCAAAAATGAGCATATAGAAATTTGTATGATGATTTTTGAATATTTGTTTTCACAGATCAGGTTGGTTGATAATAGTTGGTGAACAATCATGGAAAAAGAGGTGGTACCTGCAGGCTTTATCTTACTTATATTTAATTGAAATATGCATCGAAGGATTTCCACAGTTCTTAATTGAATATCGGGAATTAGTAGCGGATGGAATGCCGAATTCGCAGGGTAAATTTCGTACATTGGTTGTTTTTCTCCAACCTAAGGGGGGGGGGGGGGGGCAGTAACGTAAAATGTTTGAGTAAACGTTATTATACAGTTAAAGTATATCGTTGAGGGAGTCAGCAAGATTCCAGTTCCCCAAGAGCATGGCGCCGAGGGAAATAGGCTTGCTCGAGAGGAAGTGGAATCTTGCTGACTCCCGAAATGATATTATTTAACTGTTTTATTATACCGATACAAACAAAACATTTGAAAAAATTATATTCAATACTGTATTCAGTAACAATGTTTAATTCCAACAGGAATAGATAAAAAATACGACATAACAGAATACAGTCATGAAAGGAATTCCATGTTATCAATAAATCAGTTCATTGTCCGAGTATTTACTTAGTAAAATCGAAAGTAACATTACGCAAATATTGAGCACACCATTTCTGTTGTCGTTCGCTACCAGTAAAATGGTTCTTTTTAAGCGGTTAGCTAGCTAACCGCTTTATGGCATGGGCTCCAAAAAACCGGAAACTTCCATAAGGCGCTACCTATCGACATCGCTTTATGGCACGTAACCTTATCCTCCTGCAACCAAAACCGGAAATTTCCACAAGGCGCTACCTATCGACAACGGTAACTTCAGCAAAGCGCTTCCTATGATTTGTATACTGTTGGCGTAATACGCCCCATGGTGAGAGATTGACAATATGCTGTGTATGAAGAGTGGCTATTATAACGATTATATCGAATTCTTATTTAAGTATTTACCAAAGCATTGACAATACTTAGAACAATAACTTCAAAGAACTGAGGCCCCGTGGGGATCCGGGTTAGAATAGGTCCTCAGTACCCCCTTGCTTGTCGTAAAAGGCGACTAAATGGGGCGTTCCTTCGGATGAGACCGTATAAACCGATCGCGAGGCCCCGTGTCACAGCAGGTGTGGCACGATAAAGATCCCTCCCTGCTCAAAGGCCGTAAGTGCCGAGCATAGGCCTAAATTTGCAGCCCTTCATCGGCAATGGTGACGTCTCCATATCAGTGAAATATTCTGTAGAGGGAAGTTAAACAGTATACAATCAATCAAAGAACTGAGAATTTGGTCCTTATTACATGTACATCGTGCGATCGCGATTTATAGCAACTGTTAGTTTATTTTTGAAAGTTGAACGATACGGTTAATTATACAGCAGGTTGAAGGTTATTACAGACTGCAAAAACATCAGCAAATCTCTTGATCGAGTTTGATTTTCCTTGCCAAAGTATTAAGAAACACCATTTATTAAGTTAAGTAATACCTGAAAAACGCTGTTATAAAAACACCGAATACATCTGAAAGGTTTACACTTTTTGTAACGTTTTTATGGAAACAATAGGATTACCTCCACAATGAAACGTTTGTTTTCTTCTCTTTTCTTCTCTGTCTAATAAACAGATTATAAAAGCTCTGCTTCCAGGGGTAAATTCTCTACCCCGTCTTTGATAATTTATTACAAACGATCATAAGGGATCACTTACTTTTAGTTTTGAAAAAAAAAATTATGGGGCACTTAAAGTAGTAAAATTAATTTTGAAAAAAAATGGATATAAATATATTAATCTTAATCGACATTGTGAGGCTCTTCTAAAAATCAACCGACATTATTATTCACAGAAGAATGAGGTATGAAAAATCTTGGCAATTAGGAAAAATTTAAAATATATACTAATGCTTATTTATAAGTTTTGAAAATTTGATCAATTCCTAGGGAACGTATTATTAGCTGTGAAAATACTTTTTAAATTTGAATTTATCCAATTTGTCGATTATTATTTTGAGCGTTTGAGAAGAATTGAATGAAAATACATGTGTTTAGAGGCACATTGATAGAAAAAAAATCAGTGTATATTGTTTAACCGACATATTGAAGAAAATGACACTGATAACTTCTTAAGTTACACTGACTTTTAGTGTACATTTGAATTTTTAAATACTAGTATTGATTGATTAGACAACTTTCACATGTTTTATTTGAGAACAATATTGCATATAGAGCATATGGCAAATACACATTATATGTCCTTATCTAGACATATTGTGCAAGACTTCTATACCATTTACTTTATTCGAACATTTACTTGTTTGAAAAGTCAATAAAGTACATTTCAAAAAGCTTGATAATCTTGTTTACTCGCCAGTCTTCCCGTAGAAGTAGTAGTTCATAATATTTCTAAACGGAAGTATCTGTATCAAAATACAGAATGATCAATGATCGATTTAAGAAGAAAAACTGACTCCTGAAAGTTCAAGAGGTGGGATCCGTTGCCTAGAAGAAGTAAGCATCCCTCGTTGACAGGTTACACCCGCAGTGAGCCTACACATCTGGAGCTCTCTGATATCAATTCATATACAAAGTCTCTGCTCAGCCATCCTTTTTTTCTCTGACTAGCCAGCTGCAGATCTACACTACTCCAAATCCATTAATCTAAAGAATTTAACTTGTCATTTTTTTAGTTGTTTGCTATAGTAGGCTTTACAATTACCTAATTTCAGATTCAATAGAGCATGAAAGACAATTAACTTTTCAACATCAACATAATTGTTTTCATCTAGAGAACGATTGGATGCCACCAAGAGAGAAGTTTTAAAAATGCACGTCCTGTCTTTCAAACTGAAGAAATCTCATGTTTGAATTTTGAAACATGCATTTCAATCTAATTAAAATTTATTTAAATGTTCCAAATCCGCTACCGCTTCTCAAACATCTAACATCCCATTCGGGGTCACATCAGAGCGACCTTTCGATTATGAATACATGTACTAGTAAACACAAACACTTTGGCTATGTAGATTCAAGCCTCGGTAAACAATTCTCAAATTAATTCCACGGCTACATATCATCAATATTGATACTGTCTTACGGTGAATTAAAGTAATTTTGGAATAAATTTCATGTATAGTCTGCAGTCTGGCATCTGAACGTGAATAATGCAAACGAAAGAGCGCAAACTATACAAGATACCCCACACGTCATACATAACAAAGCTTTTGCAATGCATATTTTGTTTACTACAAAACTCCTCGGGTGTTTTGGTTCGGTGGTGAAAACAAGAAACCCATCTGAACTATAAGCCAAGATTTCGGAGGAACCATTTCCTTTGGCTAATCGAAGATTCACTCTTACATGACCCCAAATAGGATGTTGTTAGATGTTAGATTGCTAATCCATCTGTGACATCAGCTTGGAGTGTTATTGGTTTTACTATTAAGTAAATTATTACAAAAACAGAATGTCTGTTTTTTGTTCTCTGATGACATTGGACAAAGATATGCATACTTAAATATCATCATTTCATGCACTTTTTTCAGTACATATTAGATGAAAGCATGCTAACCGCTTTTCAGTACTTTGATTTATTGATATGGGACCAGTTGACTCGCGATGCATTTCGATTCATTAATGAATATTCATGAGTTTACTCGGAACATTTTTAAGTTTGTCGTAAGTTGAAAGAAAATGCTAAGTGTTCCGAATAGGTGTGTATCAGTTCATCAAAAAAACGTACTTTTTTGCAGGGAATCAGTCTGTTTTGCAGGGAATCGGTTTATTCACGGTGATTTTCAGGAAATCAGCAAAATATATCGATTTACTTTTATATAGTGAAAAATCGGTAGAGGTATAATAACACAATATAAAGGGAAAGGGAAGCAACGTCAGTAAGAATTTAAACGGAGTTTATCTAATAAATACTACGTTTCTTGGAAAAAAAAACCCGCGCAACCAATAAATAAACGCAAAGTAAATGCATGTATTTTACATAATAATTATTCTTACATACATGTAAAATTAAAAAAAAAAGTGGTAGATGGTCATGGCTTTTCTTCAAATTTTTATTTATCAAAAAGGCTGATAAAAAATAATTCTTACGAGGTGTAACAACATACAACAATATACTCTCGAAGTTGACATCATATAAATAGCAAAGTCTTTGATGATCTCAATTTCACTCCCAGGAGAGTTATAAAAACGATTATAAGGAAAGTTCTGTTGTGGAAATAGTATAAGTGTAGAGAGTTTAAGTTGTTTTTAACCCTGTTTTAAAATTTTGTACTCGGTTAGAGACCACCATGTACGGCGAAAACTCCAGAGTTAGACTTTTACTCGACACTTATGTCCGCTGTACGAGGCCTCGGTTTTCAGTCTTCAAAAACCCGAACGCTTGGCTAAGGAACAGAACTTAACTACCTTTTTATCATCGACAAAGTTTATTCGCGGCTGGGGCTCGCGCCCACGACCTTCTGATCAAGGAGCGACCGTTG